TTTATTTATTTATTTATTTATTTATTTATTTATAATTCATTCTTTCTCATAATAAGCGTTATTTTTTACATTTTTTTACAGTTTTACATTCACGAACATAATGCACAATAAAATTCTTTATAATGCAAAAAATTAAGAAAATCATAAATTAAATATATCTTTTTATGTTCAGATAAGATGACATATACATAAAAATTAAGATCTAGATATTAAATATGTAAATACATAGAAAGCGAGTGGTATCAATGTAAATCCTCCTTTATATTAACTTAAAAATTAGAGTTGCAGGCCTACAATATCTAACAAACTAGATTGTAATGATATAGACATATACATATATATATATATATTTATATATGGGTTGCCACTCACAAAGCGCTTGGTTTAATGTCGTCTACCCGACATACCATTTATTTAGTTGGGTTGACTTAACATTAAAAGTTCTTTAAATTGTAGTATGTGCCCTTCATAATAATGTTTCAATCGATGCCCATTAACTTTAAATATATTTTCAGTGTTAGGATCTTTAATAACAATAGTTTCATAATGATAGACTTTAATCACTTTAAATGGTCCTAACCATCTGGAATTGAGTTTTCCTGGAAATAATCTCAATCTTGTATTATATAATAAAACTTCTTTTCCAGGTTCAAACTTTTTTTTAATATATGTATATATATATATATATATATGTATATATATGTATGTATGTATGTACGTATGTATGTATATTGTACAACAATAAATGACTTTCGTTGACCAAAAGAGATGTTAAAAGGTCTTGCGGGTTTGCAAAGTCCATTTTTTATAAAACGATGTTACCATGTTCTATTTGTTGAGTTGACATGACATGTTCACTCATTTTCTAAATTATCAATTGTCGGGTTAACCAGTCGAGCTGTATCGGACTTATCTATCAAAGTATTTATACTCAGGTTAACCAGTATGATTGTTCTATCATACTTATCTATCAAAGTGTCAGCCGTCATGTACCAGCTATCATGTTGACTAGCCAAGTTGAAATGTCAACTTGATTCATTGGGTTGAAACTCCATATAACATACTACTAGATTGATCTGCTGAGAAATATAGGATATTTTCTTAGGCATTAGCCCTCCAACTTAATTGTAGGGTGGGTATACCAACAACTAGAGGATATATGTCTACGTTTATTTATGATTTATTTGATATTCAAATCATCATAATCATTCATCAATACTTTATGGGAATACCTTGTATTATACCCAAATCATTCAATACCATCTCTTTGTAAACTGATGAGGCGGCAGTCATGGCAAGACATAAGATCATCAAGCCAATTATTATCTCTAAATTACGGTCGTATCATATAAGATAGTGATGGTGATGATACCAACTCATCTTAAAAACATCCACCTAGAATTGATGTACTTGATTGTCATATGAGATGCTCATTCCAACCATAATAAATAGTCATTAAATTATTTAAATTACAGATATGATACGTAGCTCATTCATATTTAGATATTTAACACCTTGACTTACCCGACACTAAATTCCTTAAATGCCATCAAAATACAATTTTTTTCTTTCAATATTTACTTATCACTAAATTGGTGTTAAAACATGATGATTTGGCAAAATAGCAAGGTGTCGGTCATGCACAAGCGAGAGTGCATGAGTGTGTCATAATATTGTACGTTGGGATGAAAATGCTAATGGTTTGAGTAAATTTGATTTTATAGAAGTTAAATATTTAAATAAAAATTAGTTAAATATTTGTATGAAAATTTTAATAAATATATATGATCACTAGATGTATTAATTTCAAATTTTCAAGAACTATAGAGAAGGATTTAGATTTTATATGCCTCATAAAATACACAATAATCTAAATATTTTTAACAATTACTTTCCTTAGAAAATATGCAAAAAAAGTTAATTTGGAATGAACTTATCGTTGAGATGTTTATATGTGGAATAGTCTTTACTGACATTATGATAGTTCAAAGACAGTAACTATTTAAATGTTATTTTTAATATTTAAAAGTGTTATCATCATTCTCTAAGCATCCTCTTTCTTGACCTCTGAGAATATTTAAAGGGAGTTCCTCCAAAAGAATATGGTTTAGTGTTCACATTCTTGATCATTGAAATTGAAATGTAGTATTCAATTTATTTTTATCAGAGGAAAGATGCATCACGAGAACCCTAAAAGCTTTGAACACAATATTTAATGTTTTATTATTTTTCAAACAAAAACACAAAGTCCATCAAAGACCAAGTTTTCAACTTAGAAGTGGAGTGGGGTTTGAAGCTATCCTCAATTAAGGATTGAACATCTTGGCCAAGCTTTAATATGATTTAAAATAAGGTGAATCTCAAACATGATTTCAACTATGTTCTACTCACGTTCAAATCTTGCTTGAATGAGATTTTGAGCTCATTTGACTAAGCTTTGAATCAATTATTCTCATATACAAAAAAATACGCGAATGTTGGATGAAAAGACAATTATAGATATATCCAATTAAAAAAAGGATAATATGTGCCGGCTATATCATGGATGGAAACATATATTGTATTATTTTTAATCAACTATATTCTCCATTTTTCTCTTTATATCATTATCATATGATTATAGCTAATCTACATAATTATATTAATATTCAGATTAATGTGATATAATAGAAAATATTGTTTGAAGATCGTTCAAATAATATTCAAGTATGATTTGAACAAGATTAAAATGAGATTTAAATAAAATTTATTTTTCATCCCAATTATTTTGTTTTAATCAATGGAATATAGAAGTTTTTATTTTGAGTGAAATCGAAAAATGAATACAGGAGCGCTAAATTTATAATTAATAGTATTGGGGTGCTATCTACGTAATTGGTCTCTCCAGGAGTGGCCCGGGGCCGGCCTGCCGAACAAAAATAGGAATGCAGGGTGACTTGAATACTAATAATAATAATAATAACTCTCGCGGAAGACTCCTGCGCTCTGCCACCTTGAAACTCCATCCCACTTCGTACCCTCTCCTGAACGAGGCGAGGCGGCGCCGCGACTACTGCGGTTGCAAAGGTACAACGGTGGCTTACAGATTGAAGGACCGGATTAGCGGCCTGCCCAATTAGTTTGGTATGGACTATCTATCGTTCCAATAAGGATATTTCTGAACGAAGCTTCGATTGCGTTCGGTGAATATGGAATTATTCTATGTCAATATCCTCTCACTTGTTCTTTCGGTTCTATAATGTTTGTTATTTTAATTGCAGAATAGGAAAAAAAAAGTATCGTCTTAACGAGTTGGAGTTTTCTTCTTTCGCACCCTTGACAACTTACGTGTTATTAAGTGGGCAAATTCAATGGATCTAAACATGCCATCGCCAAATTAAGTTACGATATGCGGTCACTTACTGTCTTTAGCCGGCCTTTTCCTCTTGTTATGGGGCTGTTGGTTACATGTGGAATTTAATGCAAGCACGATATAGTAAATGTTGTAAATTCAGATTTAGTAATTCCTGAAGGCCTTAATTTCTAAAAATTGTTTCGCTTTATGGATGTTAAATTGGGTGTAATCCTAGGGCACGCATTTATTTACATACCACACAATTCCTATGTATTTACATATTCAAAACCTAAACTTTGGTTTCTACAGCCAATTAACACCAAAATCTTTCATATCTCATAAAGAATACGACCGTTACTCACTTTTAAAAAGTGAGATGCACTTTTTCATGTATATATTAAGTGGCATAAACTTAAAAATCAAAGTTAAGGTGTTAGATGTTTAAATATTTAAGAATTGTGTGGCATGCATCTATATCTTTCTATAACTTAAATGAAGAAGAAGAATCTGGAGGGAGGGAGTTGACAAGGACAAGTTTTTGAGAAGATAGGCCAAGGAATTCAAAGTACATGGAATTGTCAGTAGGAGTGTAGAGCAGGCCAGGATGAATCGTCAATTGGTCACTTTACTATTAAGGTTGAGAAATAAGAAATCAAATTGTTGGATGACAATAGGGATGTCAATAGTGCTAATAGCTTCATCTACGCGGCCTATATATATAT